AAGTAAAGATTATAAAAAAAAAAAAAAAAAAAAATCTGAGAAACTGTCAGTACGGAGACATAACAACTCAATGTCACATCACGCCACCGATGGGATCTGGATCAGAAACGGACCAAGCTAGTAAAATGGAGGAAGTCTGTTGGGAATAACACAGTGTCACAGATTCAGAGCATGCAGACAACGCAGTACCAGCAAGGGGGACCCCGCCACAATCACAGGTTTTTCTAGAAATCTAAAGCTCTTAAAATGAGAGGCTTATTGTAAAAATATGACACAAAATGGCAGAATGACTCCTCAGATTCAGCAGCTACCAAAAGACAGCCTTTCCCAGCAACAACATGAGATGAATCTGTGTGACTGGAAGCAGACTGCCAGGACCCAGGATGGCATGTTCCAGACAGAGAGCACACAGGCTCCCTAGAGGGAACAGGAGACCCCTCGAGAGGTTGGGGAGAAATGGTACCAGGTAAACAGGATGCCACAGGAGTAATGACGGTGAGAGGCAAGCAGGTCAGCGACTTCAGACAAGCTTCCGGGTGCTGGAAAGTCCATGGAGGGAATTAGAAGCTTTCTTGGAGGAGGGCTGGGTGCCCACACACATGTATATACACGTGTGGAGGCCAGATCAACTGATCAACTATAGCTGCTGTACACATTTTTTTTTTTTTTGAGACGGTCTCCCTGGTTTGGAATACACTATGTAGACCAGGCTGGCCTTGATCTCATAGAAGTCTGCTTGCCTTGCCACCTGAGTGCTGGGATTAAAGGTATGTTGCACCATGCCCCGCAGTCCACATTATTCTTTGAGGTAGAGTCTCTCACAGAGATGAGGGGCTCCAGAACCAACCTAGTCCAGACCCTTATGTGGGTGCTGGGGACCAGACTTGGGTCCCATGCTTATGTGGCAAGCAATGTACTGACTGGGCTATCTCCTCAACCTGTAGAGGCTTTTTAAGATGATCCTTGCTGTTACGGGAAAAGGCTGGGTGGGGCAGATAAGACAGAAGCCCATTGGACACCCAGGGCTGGCACACTTCAGCCAGCAAGGAGAGGGGATGGATCAGTAATGAACTAGACACCTCTGGGTATATGAAAACAGAGAGGTCTCCGTGCTTGGCAGAGAAGAGTCATCTCCACACAGGGCAAAGCAGGGTTCTGCCCTGGTGGCCCCTGATGGTGACCCTTTTGGAGAAGGTTCTATTCAGTCTCCAAGGGGGCCTAGGAAGGAGGCTGTCTGGACCCAGCCCTGTTCTGTCGGTTTGCCACCACTGGAGCTTCAGTGTCCTCACCTGTGGGCTGGGAAGGACACCTCCTCTCTCAGAGGGGATTAAATAGGCTCAACACAAGAATGTCCCACCAGCCTTCACAGTCACTTAACACACACCAGAAACATGGCCACTGGCTGCTCAAGGCAGGAGGAACCCAAGACGGAATGTAATCCCACGCCTGGGTTTGCAGATAAGAAAAGGGAATGACTCAGAAGAAGGAGAGCTAGACAAAGACAGACAAGGTGAAGACCCCACGCCTCTCTGGTCTCTCCCTCAGCCTCTGCTCTGTCATGTCGCTGGGCCACATGTCTCACCAGTACCCAATCAATCCAGTCCCTCAGTCATGGTCAGCTATCTCCAAACACAGAGGTGGAAAGAAACCTGCTCCAGCTCCCCAGGCTCCCTCCCCACTGCCAGCAATGAATCCCAGATGGTTTGAATGTGCTGGGACAGCTGGGACAACCAATATGGCAGCGCCTCCCTCCCTCACTGTCCCCCAACACTGAGCACCCCCCAGCCAGCCAGCTGACAACCACCTGACCTCAGTTTGGCCCAAATAATACTGTCACATAAATAAATAAAAAAAGAGAAAGGCCCCAAATGCTCTTTTCTTTCAGGTGCCTTTAAGGAAGTCACTTTTTATGACCCTCTGGCCAGATGAGAACCTCCTTCTAGAAGGATCAGTAACAACCCTGCCTGCAGCTCCTCCCAGACCCCACAGCAGGCTGCGGGTAGGAACAAAACACCCCAGTGGTACAGCTATTGAAGCAAACACATGAAAGTGCTGCTGTTAAAAGCACCCAAGGCACAAGAAAGTGCTCCCTTTGAGGCCCCTGAACTCTGTCACCTAGCAGCATGGCATGGCCTAGCCCACCACGGGCTCCCAGCAAACACCAGCAGCCCTTTGCCACACACATTCTGCCCTGAGTGCAAACACACTGGCCACAGTTTTCCAGAAAGCTGCTTTCTTCCTCATTATCTCTAACCTGAAATCACCATTTCCCAATGAAAGGGGACAGAGCCCTCAGACTGAGCAGCCTGCTGTTCAAATCAGGAAGCCAGCAGCAGCCGCAGATGTCAGTAGCTTCCAGAATGCACTTCAGTGAAATTCTCATTCCTGAAAGAATCGCTCTGGGGAGAGGTAGGCAGGCATCCTCTGGCCAGACATACACCTCAAATTTACTGTGGGACAATGCCTGACAAGTCAGCACACTTAAAAAAGCAAGCCGGGGAAGCAAGACCCGACAACCATCTGTCCAGAAATTAGGTTCATCCATCAAAGGATCTAAATCCCACAGTACAGAGTATCCAAGCTGACGGTCACACATCGCCTCTCTCCAACAGAAAAAGAAATCATTCCCTTTTCTTCCTCAGCTCAAGAATAGCTAATCCAAGATGTTTCACTCACCTTTGGATCGAGTGGAGATATCCATGCCCTCTACCACCTCCTGTTCTGTTTTTATTTCCTCTTCAGCCAAGCTGAAACAGAGCAAATGATGTATGTTTTAGGTAGGCTGAGAATGTACCCTCGCCCCAATCGGGTAACTGCTAGGGAGCCCAAAGGGCAAGCCCACCTTCTTTAAGACACATCCCCATCCTTACCAGAAGTGGGGAGCACACCTGATTTCAACCAACTGTTAAGATTCTCGTAAAGGACTTTTTTAAAACCCTAGATGGTTCTTTAGAAAAAAAAAAAAGAAAAAAAAAAGCCAGGCATAGTGGTGCATGCCTTTAATCCCAGCACTTAGAGGCAGAAGCAGGTAGATCTCTGTGAGGCCACCCTGGTCAACATAGCAAGTTCCAAGCCAACTGAGGAGTAGCCCAGTAGGGACACCCAGTCTCAAAAACAAAGTCAAATTAACATTTCAATTGTACTATTAGAAGATGCAAAGTAAAAGTCATATTTTGATCTTAGCTACTCAATTACAACCTTTGCCCTCCTGCCCAAGAGAACCTGGTCTTCGAATTAGCTAGTTTCTCATTGCTGACACAAGGGTCCAAGGAAGGCAGGGTTAGAGGTGTCTCTGCAGGGTACTCAGAGTCCTAAAGTCAGAATTCTGCCAAGGTCAGTTCATCTCATGCCTCTCCACAGAGAACTTTACAACTCCCTGATGAGGCAGTTACATGAAAAGATTAACAAGTTAAATTACAAAATAGAAAAAAAGATGGCCAGACTAAAAGTAAAAGAACTAGCCTCAAAGTATGGCAAGCAACCAGCCTTTATCCTGAGAATCAGGACCAGGATCTCTGAGCATCCCCACCCCCACCTTGCATGGCTTCCTTCTGAACTGTGACTAATTATTCTCCACCAGAGGAACAAGGAAAGATTATTTAAAAGATACAGGCTGAGTGGAGGGCTGAGGTAGGAGGAAAAGCAGCCCCCCTTAGCTAGAAGACCTGTCAACCAGAACCTTCTCTGCCTCTCTGCTGGAACTCAGGTAAAACGGAGCAGGTGGAGTGAGAGCTAACCCACCAGACACCTCGCGGCCGAACCAAAATGAGGAAGTGCAGTTCTGCTTTCTCAGGTGTAAATGATTTGAGGCACTAGAATGTTCCAAGTTACCATCTCTGTGGTGGGAATCTGAGCAATCACTCTAGATGCAATTCCATCAGACCAGGGTTGAGGAAGAAGAAATGGATGCATCACCAATTGATATGGGTGGAATTTTCCATTCAGGAGACTCAAAGGCAGGACAAGGCTGGAGACTGTCCTGTTTGTATTCTGTGCTCTGAGCCAATGACAGGGCAAAAGACAGGTCCAGAAAGGCTTCCTGTGGCCTGGAAGCTCAGGATTAAATGGAGGCCTGCTCCTGGTGTGTTGGGAGGAGAGAATCCAAGATAGGAGCGAATCAGAAAAGGAAAAGATTACAGTTCCGAGCCCAAAGGCAGAAGCAATGAGGCCTCTGACTTTAACTAGTCTCAAGAGAGAAAAGACAGGAAGAAAGGTAGTTTGGGTTTAAATCAGAATCTCAAGACATTTAGAGAACCTTGCTAACAATTTCATTTACAAAGCATCAGTAGAGAAACCAATGACACAAATCACCAAAGAAACAACTGGCACGTTTTTGTCACAGGTGAGCTGCCTCAGAAGTCAGCAACCTGCTGAATCTCAGCACATCACTAGTGTAACGGGATTTTCGGGAAGTGATTTTAGCACCGACACTTTGTGCTCCAACTTCAGAAGAAAGCCTTCTCAACTCAGAAACTGTCTGAAGCACGTGCTGGTGTCTAGCTGGATGTTGCTGGGGTGCTGGTTGACAGTGGGGGTGATTGGAAATGGAGCTTAACAAAAAGCCCCACGCAGCAATCAGAGATGGGAAAGACGGTTAACTTCAAAAGAACAAACTGTAACCTTGATCTTTCTAGCAACTAGAATTCTGTTTCCCTCTCTAGCATGAAGTATGTGAAATCCTAAACTTCTTGAAACTGATCCCATATTTGATTGATGGGGAAAACGCTAATCTGTGCTCCAACTAAAATGTACCAGTGGCAAAAGAAACAATTACGTCTCACAGAGCCAAAAAAAAAAAAAAAAAAAAAAACCCACTTGAAGGATTTCTGCTGTGATGAAAATATTCAAAAGTGTATTGATTACAGAGAAGGCATGCATTGAAGAAAACAATTAATAATTTGGCTTGTAACAGCCTACAAGAGCTGAATACTTAGGGCAGGAATGCAGCTAAGAGGCTGAGGAAATATAAAGTAGTTAGTTATGGGGTAGCTGTTTGCTGCTGAGTTTAAGTTAATCAATTCTGAAACAGAAGAGAAGGGGGGATTAAGCTGTTTTATCTTTCCAAGTATTAAAGTGAGCACCATAATCGTCCAACTTTAGCAACCGCGCTTCCAACTTGAGCCCAGGATTTCCAGCACAACAATTTAAGAAAACCATCTTTTTTATAGAGCAGTAAGCATTCCTTCAAAGGGAACCTGTGCCAAGTGCATGCACACGTGTGTGTGCGCGCACACACACACACACACATACAACTTGTATTTGACTAAATGACACTACAGTGTCTATGCATGTAAAAGAAGGAGAAAAAAAGCTTCATTTACAAAAGCAAAGACCAGAATACAAAATTAGTCATTTCAAATAGCCACATCTAAAGGGACTTCCTTTTTTCTAGACCACTGATCTTGGGTTTTGTTTTCTTTTCTTTTTTTTTTTTTCTCTCTTTTGGTTTAGTATTAAGCACTAGTGTGTTATTAGAAAAGGGAAAACTATGGCTATTACATCAAAAGTGGTGAGAAGAAAAGATTTGTACCTGTCTGAATGTTCCACAAATCATAGATCTTGGGCAATTTAGGCTTAAGACCTGTTCAGGATGGGGGGATGGTCAAATAACAACATTTTAAAAAGAAAAGGCAACCAGGTCTAGAGAAAATACTTTGAACTTCTACCATCAACACATTAAAAAGTCTCAGCATACACAGCCTCCCTCCTTCCATATCTACAGCCTCCCAGAAACCCTAATCACTTAAATCAAAAACAAAGGAACAAGTCCTGTTTTCCAACTGACATCACTTTTTTGAAAAGGTCTGCTGAAAAGGATGGATACACTCATAAAAGAAAGGGTAAGATCAGCTAAAAACAGAAAAACCTTTCATCCTAAAAGAAAAAAGAAAAAGGATACATTAACTAGTTGTATACATCCTATACACAACCAAGCACCTCTTAAACTCATATTTACCCAAGTCACTTGCTTGTGGGTCCCACAAACTGCTACATTTCAGGCAATTCAAAGAAACAGCACCTGCAAAGGCAACCAAGTTTATCTCTTCCCTTCCCCAAAAGAATCCCCACTCATCCCCTGAGCCAGAAAGCCTGCACAATCTTCTTCTAAACCTACATGCACTGGGGGAAAAAAGAGCAATTAAAAGTTGCAGATGAACTACAGTCTTTCCAGGATGCTGTAAGCTTTCTGATTATTAATTCTGAGGATTCAGGGCTGGTCCGTAATTCCCAGGCATCTCACCCCTTCAACACCTCCAAAAGAGAGAGAAAAAGAAAAACCATCTAGTTTTGACAGGAAAAAAATAAAAGCCTAGATACACAATACCTAGATTTGTTTCCCCAAGTGCCCTTAATGCTTGACTTTTAAGCAAGAATGTCTAACCCAGATAGAACATATAACCAGCATGCACAAGACTCTGGTTCCCCGATGAGAATCCTCACACATCAATTCAGGAATCATGGGCTTTATTTTCATTCAAAATGCCAAAATGGTCCAGGCTGTAAGAAATACTTAATCCCCAAAGGCACAGCATCTCCCTCTTCTAGATCACAGAATAGTGAACATCAAAATGTAAAGAGAAAAAGGGGGGGGGGAGCAAACATACTTCTCTAAATCTGCAAATAGTTTTGTTTTTTTTTTTAATTGGGAGAGGGGGTGGTTAGCAAAGCAGGTTTTCTATAAGCACTCACCTAAAACAGGCAGTCATCGGAGCTAAGCTATTTATGCAGGCTTCTTAAAATGGCGGCTGGCAACTCTGCCTCACTCCTGTATTGAAGCTAAAATGGTAGCAGTTTGTTCAATAGCTGAGCTCATGTTTAAGGAGCCCTGCTAGTTCCAAAGCCACCTTCCTAAATATCAGAAGTAGGAAAAGCTCAACCAGAGGACACCAACAACTCAACGTTTAGAAGCTTTGAAGGAGAAAAAAAAAAAAGAAAGAAAAAAAAAACTGCAGTGGCAGGCACAGTTAGTGAAGTCACAGGTTCCTAAGGAAAAACCCTCCTTTCAGAGGCTGAGTCTCGCCTCGCACAGGAGTCAGTGCTGGGGCCCCCGGCCCTGCACCGAGGTAGGTGGAAGGTTAGGGATTATGCAGGGGCCCCTGGCATAATGGAAAGACGGACAGGTGTCTGCGCATGCAGATCTGTCCTTGGGAGCTGGCTGTGGGGGAGGAAGCTCCTCTCCTTCCCAGTGCAGTGCAGACCTACTCCAAAGGCCAGGTGAAATGAAAGCGCTTCTAGAACAGCAGGCGTTTAGGAAGCCAGGCCAGGGTGAAAATTCTGAAAGGTTGTTTGTAAGCCTGAAACTACCACCAACTACAGCAGCCACCCTGACACAGTTGCATGAAGGCACGGGATCTGCAGAGCAGAAACCCGAAGTCCAACACCCCCTTCTCCAGTTCACCAAAGACTCACAAATGAGGTTTCTGTCCACCCCCCACAGAGCCTGGGATGTAACAATGGGTTTTGCAAAAAACCTGCTTGAGAGGCCGAACTATTAATAATAGGCTCATGGAGGCCGATGTCACGGGCTGGGAAGGTCTGGGAACTGCAGAATTCCTCTGGCGCTGGGAGTAGGGAGTTTCAAGGTGACAGCTTTTTGGTTCCAGGGGAGAAAGGAGGGCATCGTGCCCAGGGCCAAGCAGGGCGAGGTTGGGCCGCTGGCTGGGAGCCGGCCGGCAGGTAGGCGATCCGGGTGGGGAGGGCCAGCCTGGCAGCACGCTGGCTGCAGAGCTAGCTGGCAGGGCCTCGCTGTTTGTCTGGAAGGAGAGCAGAGCCTGTGGGGGGAAGGGCAGCCGGAGCCTGGCAACCTGAGGCCAAGGGTGACCAGCTTTTGCATTTGAAGAAGGACCCCAAGAGCTTCTAAACCCAGGGGAGGCCCCTGGAATCCATCTTCTTGGGGTCAAACGGAGGCAAAGAGGTCTGTTTGTTGCCTCTGCCAGAGGACCAGAAGGGAAAGAAGGGGGGAAAACAGAAACAGAAACAGAGATGATACATTTGACCTGGTTGGACTTCCCAAACCTACCTTGCCTCCAGGGTGTTCAGGTTACTTACTGTCCACCCAGCCTTCTAAAAAAATGACTCTAACCCCCCCACTGCCAACCTTCTCTTCTTTTAAGACCTGATGTTAGCCCACTGGCTCTCTGAAGGAAAGAGGGGAATGTTTTGTTAAAAAGAAAAGGGGTTACAAGGACGAAAGGGGAAAAGGCTATTGTTTTATCCCTAATTTATAGTCCAGGAGACTTCATTCTTTCTTTCTGACTCAAATCTTTGAGCGATTAATTATAAAAGTAACTGGACTTGGCTCCAACAGGGCTATGTTCTTGCTCTGCAATTAGAAAAAGTCTGAAGAAAGTTTACTGAGTGATTATATATAATTAATTCCTAGTTAAGACTGAACACTGACCATTTTCTGGAGCTAATAAAAGCAGTTTTCCCCTTCCCCCATGTTGAATGCCACTTAATTTCCCAAAGCAGACCAGTGCACCCATCCTGGAGGGTCTTAAAGAAAAAACAAAGGGGCTGGGGAGGAAGAGAGAGAGAGAGAGAGAGAGAGAGAGAGAGAGAGAGAGAG